CCATCTTCAGTTGTTTGCCTAATATCTGGGGAGGAGAAGGGCATTTTTGGATCAACATGGGGTCAGGCTCTGGGGAAGACCAAGCAGAAAGGAAGAGCTGCCACTGCCTCTGTACACAGCATGGTAAGAATACCAGTGAGAAGGATGTGAAGATACTGGACAGAAGGGTCACAAAAACCGACCCAGTGATAAAAAACAAACCTTGCAATAGAAGTCATCATCTCAGCAATTTTATCAGGGAGAAGACTGAAGAGGTGACCTGACTACTGAGTCAATGCTGGGTTTTTAACCTTGCAGATAATGTCTTAACAAGTTCTCCTGGACAAGGACCACGTGTTGCAGGGCAATATGAAGAGTGTCTCTCTAAAATGGCTAACTGCTGAGTCTTTTTCTTATTCCTGGCATCATATGGATAGTCAGACTATGACCAGAGAGAAATATCCCTCAGGTGATACAGGGGAGAAGGCATTTGCAAAGTGAGTGTAAAGATGAGTTCATTAATACATTGGAAGCAAACACATACTGTAAGAGAGAAAGCCCCATGAGAAAATGAATGATTATGTCTTCAGAGCAAGTCTCGAACAGCATTCAATATAAAGGACCTGGGACTGAATAATGAATAATGGGAGAAAAGAGGAGGGAACAAGACTTTAACACATGTTCACTAAGCAAGGGAAAAATATCCAATCATACAAATACCGACAGTATATGTACAGTGCTGGTGGACTGATGCTAGGCACACAGTCTTCATACTGGAATTTCTTAGCTTTAATTAGAAGTTCTAAAATTCATTTTAAATTGTCCTTGTTTTAAAAATCATTTTTCTATGTATAGCATTCTAAAGATATGAATATACATACAGATGTGTGCTTACAATGACAGTTACAGTTTCATAAATAAATGTGCACATAAACACTTCCAAACACATCCTGTGTGGTCCAGCCTCAGGAGATGTGGTGGATGGTTCTCCAGCTGCCTGACATTTCAGCAGGCAGCATTGGTGTATAAAGGAAGAACACGTCTCAAAGTTTGACTCCATGGCTGATGCCACCGTGAAACCCAGCCAAGGAGGAAAAAGCAGGCCAAAATTTGTCCTCTTTCCAGAGTCCTCAGCCCTAAGAGAGGGTTTTCCCCTTTTCCTCTGCAGTCATCATTCACCATGGGTTCCCCTTTCTAGAGGGAAGGAAGCTTCTCTTCATTCCCACTGGAGTTGATGTGACAACCATGAAAGGATTAATTTGCACAAGGCCATTACTGCACCAGTGCTGTGCTTACCGGTCAAACTCAATGAAGGCGAGTCTGAGGGTACGGCAGCTGCACCCTGGCAGGTTCTGGAGAACACTGATGTGTATGACGTCTTGTGAAGCTGCCTGTGCATGGATCTCCCCCTCCCCGTTGCTTCTGCAGTCCAAGCAAAATTCAGCTGAAATTTCTCAGTAAAATTATTTTTTCTTTATGTTGCCCTGTTGTTAAGCACTTTTAACTCTTCAGCAACAGTAGCCTTCAATTACCCTCTGGGATTCAGGAACACCAATGAATCAACCTTTAGGTGACAGACAGGGATGCTGGCCAGGGACCACCCTTACTTCCTCTTAGACTCAGTGTCCTAGTTCATGCCTGTTTCTATACACAGCTACCATACCATGCTTGCCACTGTAACGTCTGGGATCAAGCCTACCCTTTAACCCACACCAGTTTATGCCTGGTCACCTCACAGGTGTATTTTGGGAACAGACCTAGTATTCATTATTGTTCCACCTATGCCTTGATTGTCATGCAAAGGAAACGTGGGAGCCAGGGCAGAAGGCAGCTGTAGGGAGGCATGGTGCTCTCTAATAGGCTCCTCTGATCTGAACAGGCAGGAGCCCAGGATCACAGCCCAGGGTGCAAAGCACATCACGCCATAGTCTGAAGTCAAGCTAAGAGCTTAAAACCTCTAAGTTTTCCTGGAAGCTCCAGAAAACTACAGGGGAACCCAAAGAACGCGTCACCTGCAGAAGGAAGGTCATCGACAGCAGATCCTGGCCCAACTCACCTGCCTTCTCCCAAAAGCTGGATTTCTTCTTGTTCCTAATACCTTTCTAAAGTTTACCAGAGGGCTGCAGAGCCAGCTTTTGCCTTATGAGGCACATAGCTCCTTTTAAGTATTATGTCATTATTTCTTGATCAACAAGTGTGTAACTGCTCAACACCTCTTGGAAACTTATAATTCACATTTCTAATAAATGTTTAAAATTATGTGGAGCATCACACACATTAATACTTACCTTTAAAAATACTTCCAGTGCAGATAGCAATCTGAATCAGAAGAATTTTAGTGGCTGGGGGTTTTAAGAGGAAATTATTAATTTAGGGCCTTACACTACCCTCAGAACACCTTTATCAGTTTTTATGATTTCTTAAAAATGTTAATACAAAGGCAGGCATGTGGAACTCTAATTGGAGAGTAGCAGAGTCTCACCACACTCAATAAAACCTCTCATGGGTGCAATGTAACTGAAGTAATACACAGAGAGCCCTTCCTGCAAATTCCTCCCTGCGGATTCCTACCGAAACCTGGAAGACTAATTTGACTTTTCCCAACACACCATGAATGTGGATTGACCAATCTGTAATTAGAATGGGTGTGTTTCGTGAATGAATTTGTTGTTATAATTAGATCTGGTTCTAAAGACAAAATACAGCTACAAGTATTTTTACCAGTGGGGTTTTTTTCTCTTTCAAAGCCAAGCCTAGAAAAAAAGAGTCTGACAAATGTTGAGATAAACTTACCAACCTCAGTTCCTCAGTAGTAGTGTTTATATGACTAGAAGTTCACTGCACAAGGCAACGCAGGAAAGAACAGCAAACACAGGAAAGGAGCACAGGAAAGGGAAATAATGGACTTCAGTTTTTTGGTGGAGACATTACATCATTTGCTTTGCAATGTATCTGTATTTCACAGCCAGAATAATATCAGCCAGCTCCAAGATAAGGAACACATTTATTTAGAGAATAAATCTAGTTCCAATTTCATCATAATGTCAATATTTGCTGTATTAATACTACAGTTCCTCGCAGTTAATACTCAGTAGTTAATAATATGTTGTGTGCAAAGGGAAAAGATCTTCCGAATGAGCTGTGCACAGAACCTGGGAATTGCCAGGTTTGGAATATGGTTCACTCCGCTTTTGGAAAGTTCCTTCATTGCTGGGTGCGAGGAGGTAGGAATAGGTCTTCAACTGGTAGAAACCAGTTGACTTCCACCTCGCAGGGCTTTGTTTTGGGGTTTTTTCTCAAGCTTTTAGTACCAAACCTTACAACTAGGACAAATTATCAGGCTCCTGTCAAAAACTGTGGACAGTCCAGCCTAGCCATTGCAGACCATTGCAGCAGACTTTATGCAGAAACTCCTCCCTGCCCTACGGTGTCGTGGTTTAATCTCAGTTGGCAACTAAGCACCACGCAGCCGCTCGCTCACTCCCCCCCCGGTGGGATGGGGGAGAGAATCGGAAGGGTAAAAGTGAGAAAAACTCGTGGGTTGAGATAAAGACAGTTTAATAGGTAAAGCAAAAGCCACGCATGCAAGCAAAGCAAAACAAGGAGGAAATTAACTCTATCCCTGCCGAAACCAGGACATACGGCAAGATGTGGACCAGTGGGAGGCCAGGCTCTGGTGACCAGCATGTTGGGGTTGGGCTCTGGCTGCAGCTGCTTGGGGGGGTCATTGCTGAAGGTAGAGGGGCAGCAAACAGTGAAGCTGCTACATGGACGTTATGGAAGTGCTGGGGACATTGCAGAGGGAATGCGTGCTTTTGGCCAGCACTGAAATCTTGAACCCCTTGACTAGACAATAGGGTTATACTTCATTAAATTTGGGCAGAAGGCGGAGAGGGACTTCCTTAAACGTAACCCTAAGAAATTCAAGTTTCTATAGGCCCAAGGAGCAATTTGCCAATTGCTACTCTGCTAAGCCCAAAATAAACAGATGACTTCATGGTGGGCTGCTTGCTATACATTTTCTACACATTTATTGCAATGCATGCTGTCAAGGGCAGCTGTGTGTCTCTCCAAAGGAAGCACATTTTTCTGCAGTACACACAGTTATGAACACATGAAGTAGTCAGCAGTATCCACTCCCCCCGACCCAGCTCACGTGTGGTGTGTGGGTTTGTCCTATTGTTTCTGCTGTCCCTAATATACACATAAATGACTCGGAGAATTCGTAGCTCATTCAGCAGCAGCTCTCCCCATAGCCCTTGAAGAGGTGGATGAAGCATGCCTTCTGACACTGCATTTACCATTGCCTGGTGATGACTTTGTGATTGATGACTCACCGATCTGCTCCAAGGGAGTAACCTCCCCTTTGTGAACCTTCCGTTTGCGTCTCCATTGTGCCCCTGACTGGAGCTTGCCATCTGTGCCTCCAGCATTCTTCCACTCACATAGGTCTCTGCATAAACCTGCCCTCCTCATGCTAGGAAAGTGGACCTCACTGATAGCTATGGTGACCAAAGCTACTGCCCACCACATTATTGACTCTGTCCTTCAGATCTTGGTGTTTTGCAGGAATCAGAAGATATGACTAGCTGGCTTAGACTACTGTTCCCTTCTTATCTGTTCTGTCAGATGGGTCATGTGTGGCCCAGCGTGGCAATCCCCATGCTGTGCAGTGAGCTCAGGACATGCAGAGCAGGTCCCCAGACCACCATCCTCAGCAATGTACAGAAACAAACAGAACTGTCATAATTCACAGGAGAACAAAGGCCGATCATTTTCTGCCTGAACTGAACATTTCTTTGCAAAGTTCCATGCCTGACCAAGTAGAAAATAATCCAGATGATTCTGTTTATTGTTATATTGGTTAACTTTCCTTATTTCAAAATTGTCCTTTATTTCAGTAAAGTGCCTAGTAATGCAAAAGTCGTTCAGCTTTATTCAGATTAACCATGGTAAGTGCATAGGTTTAGCAGAGAAGCGTTCCTTTCTGCCCAAAAATCAATTCTGAATCTGCATAACACTCTCTGTGAACAAACAATGTTTTTATTAGCTTTATAGAATGCACCTCCCCTCTACAGAAAAGATGGTTACTGACAGCACAAGAGATGACACAGAATAAAATTAAATCTAACATTCAAAACAATAACGAGTATTTCTACATATTAACATTCATACCAAGCTTAAAAGTGGTACTGTTTGGATCACAGACCACTATTGAATGCTATGGCAAAGAAATTATCTAAGCAATGGTAATTACCATTTAAAAATAGTTAACAGTGTGAATTGGAAGATTTAATGTGTTTTCTTCTTTTAATGTACAGCCCCATTCCCAGAATTTCACTGGACCGTGCGGATAGACCAACTGTCAAAGCTGTCTATCAAGGCTGAATTAGATGAAGACAAACAATACAGGCTTTGTGGTTCAACTGAAGCAGCAGCTTCAAAAGTTTCCACTTCTCATCCGAGGGCACTGTGGGAGCATTGTCTTCCCCCTCTCTGAAAAGAGAATGGAACAATTATGTTACTGAAATTCCTCCGCAGTGGGTCTGAAAGACTGTTTATGTCCAGCCAGGGAGACAGGGAAAACTAAAAGCAGGGATTTCATGACAGCAGGTGGGGGCAGTTTCAGGGTATATACTTCAGTGACATAATGGTCCTGATTCTTCTCTTTTAGGGTAAAGCCAGTGCTGGAAGATTTACTAGCAATGGAGGAAATGGCAATAAAACCGCAAAGTTAAATGTAGTGGTAAAATTATTAACTTGAAACAAAGCTTTACAATTGGCTTTCTGAATCAGTCAGGTAATTGATTCTAATGTGGAGAACATGGCAGTAAACTAGAAAGGAAAATACACTAGTCACAGAGAATTTTTTACCGTGTACCATTTTAGGGGCTGTACCAAGTGAAGTGCTGAGTACGTCGCTCTCATGGGAGTCAGGTGGGCTCGGGAGATAGAAAGCAACCACCCAGTTTTTCCCTCCTAATATCAGTAATATTCATTAGCAGCAGAGATAAATCAATACTTGGTTTCATGCAAACACATATTCGTGTGCTTCAGTATAACCTTAGGAAATCAGCTGCTCAGGTTGTCCCAGTGCTCTCAGTTTGGAAGCGGTAGGTATGGGAGTGCCGAATCATTTCATTCTGTCATACTAATAATCTCACTTTTTTCTGAGGTTATTTTAGTGCCAACTATAGCTCAGTACATACACGCAAAAAATCTGTAAGTGTTTGGGTGCAAATGGTCACCTGGGGCTACAATTGCTTGCAGGGTCAACACATCTCTAGAGTTCCCACTCTTTTTAAAGAGGAAAGGAGTGTAGAGGCTGTCAGTCACCAGCAGTGCTGTTAAGAAGTCAGCGTCTACCCACGTGACAATCTGTGCCATGATTTCCATGTGCTTAAATCAGCTGCTCAGGTTGTCCCAGTGCTCTCAGTTTGGAAGCGGTAGGTATGGGAGTGCCGAATCATTTCATTCTGTCATACTAATAATCTCACTTTTTTCTGAGGTTATTTTAGTGCCAACTATAGCTCAGTACATACACACAAAAAATCTGTAAGTGTTTGGGTGCAAATGGTCACCTGGGGCTACAATTGCTTGCAGGGTCAACACATCTCTAGAGAGTTCCCACTCTTTTTAAAGAGGAAAGGAGTGTAGAGGCTGTCAGTCACCAGCAGTGCTGTTAAGAAGTCAGCGTCTACCCACGTGACAATCTGTGCCATGATTTCCATGTGCTTCCTGGTTACCATCCAATACCCCCAAAAGTCATGGTGTCTGGCAGCAGGACCATTTGATGGTCAACTTGAAGAACTTTCTACCAGCTGCCTTCTAAGGGAGGCTGTAAGCCCTTCACAGAGCAGCTGGTTTTAGCCACAGTTACACTTTATGTAATAGCACAAAGGATTCCCAGTTCTTCCTGGGGTTTGGTATAAAGGTGTAACATAAAAAAACATGTAATAATAAGAAGTTATTCTCCATCTCGGGAAAAACTCTTGGCATGTTTTTCAGTGGGCTACGGATATGATGACGCAGGGACCAACCCTCTCCCCGAAGTGAACAGAAAGGTTCCTCTTGCGTGGACAAAAGAGACTGGATTTGGGAATTAGACTGAAAAATCTGAGCGAGTAAGCTCAAAAGAAAGCCAAAACTTTGTGTTCTTAAGGTTCTGTGTAGGAAAACTAACGCTGTGACACAGTGACACTTTCTCAATCTCAATTAGTGCTAAACTAATTAACAAAACTGTTTTATACACTGCAGTGAGTAGTATCTCTCTTCTTTCTTGGATAATCCCTAGTGTGATGTAAGGGTGATTGAGTATCTAATTACTCCTTAATTGAATGCACATTTTGTACATTTTTCACTAGTTCAAGCTTAATGCTTTTGGTCCAAAAATCAAAGTCAGTGAAATTAAGTTGAACTGGGATTTGGGCTGCTATTGTATTAATGGATTACTTTTGGAAAGGAGCCTAATTACAAGCCAGTCTGAAGATTTCAGTTGTGTTTGTTATAGAAATGTATTGTCTGACAAAAGACTGATTGTATATATTGGTAGTGTTGCTATTCATGTTTACCCTTTATTGTTTAAGAGTAATTTTTCTACCATGCTAAATTAATAGCACTGTTCCGTAATACATGCAGTCAAGTAACACACTATTCAGGCTAAAGGTTTATGTAGATATGAAGATACCTGCTCCTCTTACTCTTCCGAAAAGTTTTTGGAAATGTAACATTTCAGCTAAAATTGTACAAATGGGCACATGTATTACAATCAGAAAATTGCCTAGATGCCTTGCTTGTTTCTAAATTATATTTCTGCCTTTGAAATTTCCTTTGCTTGGGTTGAGTCCTATATATAGAGAGAGTCCAACTGCTTCTGGTGGAGTCCTCTACCGATCAGGCAACCACTCCCAAAGAAAAGCTTTCAGGATCATTGCCGTAAAGTGTAAATACCTGGGAAATCTGAGAGCTATTATCACAATACCCATGGTTTAAAAAAAAAGAAATATTAACAAGGTCAATCAAAATTCAGAAATCAACCTCATAATGTAAAAAAATCATTATGTTTCCAACAATATTTATTTCTAATTCTTTCCTATAATAATTTTATGTACTTAGATTCCTCGGGAAGGATACATTTTCTTGTACAAAACTGGGATAAACGCATGACTCTAACTTTATTTCAGAAACAAGAAGCAGCAGCAGGAGCAAAGACAGGGCCAAGCTGGTATATTTTTAAGAACTAAAGGTCCCAATGTTCCCATAGTAATAGACAGAACACATTTAAAAGATAAGAAAACTTCAGTGAAAAGGATTATTTTTCAAAGTCTTCCAAAAGTGTTGAGAAAGTGCAAATAAACGGACTATGGAGAAATGAAATAGGATGGCCACAATAATATGCCTTTCCATCTGATAGGGAGGAAATAAGATACCCCACTGCAGCAGCCTTAGGTCAAGATAACTACACAAGATCAAAAACTTTCTTCTGCTACTTAAAAGTAGTCAATCTGCTTTCTGGAGAGCTTTTCCACCTCTTTTGTCTCACCATATTCCTTATCATTATTGTCTCACACAATGTGTCTATTTTTTTCCATATAGAAGTATCTTGCCTTCTCCTCCTTAACACTAGGTTAAACCAAAAAGTTTAAGCGTTTAAAAAAAATCAAAGGCAAAAAACACTTTAAGACTGACTACACATTACCATTATGCTATACCTCCCTAAAAACAGCACCTGAAAGTATGGTCAGGCATGGATTCAGATTGTCTCAGAGAAGAGAACTGACTACCTTATGAATTCCTTATCTTTCCTGAAACACTTTGCATTCCTTCCATGAAAATGTCGCAATTCATTGAGTCTACATCTTGTTCTGTGGGCATTTAACAACATCTAGCTAACTAAAGTGTACCTTTGTTTCTCTTGAGCTCTGGGGATGCATAAAAATCTTTTAAAAATTACAGTAAGTTTTGCTTTGTAGCACTGCTCTGTCATAAACTGTGGTGCTAGTCATAAAACATTGCTAACAACAGTCACTGCTGGTATTCTCTTCCTTGAGTGACAATTACCAGTGGCAAAAACATTTTCAGTATCCCAAATAACTTGCTTGGTTTTGTTTGCACTTTATTTTCAAAACACTGTTGTCTACTTAGCAAGAGTTTGTTCGCATACTTTCATTGCATTGTTTTCATCCATCTGAAATAATTAGAATTACAAATTCCAATAAGATTAAGGACCTGTGACTACCTGGATCTTCAGTTTCAATGGAGTAATAATGTTCTGCTTAAAACTCCCTGTGTGATCTCATCTAGGTAAAACAGAGTGCACTCCCACTGCCTAACACGTATAACATTGTTGAAGGAGGAATGCATATTGTAGGCTTTCTTCTCTGTCTGTGGTCAGACACATGTACCTGTATGTCCTTCTAATATCCTTGACATTTGAGAGCTGTTACATTACTATATTTCACACGCACTAATCTGGAGTCTCTATATTTTAAAAAACAGGTGTAGTTTTATCAAAGATGATTTAAGCTTCCTACCATTTTGCCTCACCACTAATTTGCAGCATTTTCCCCATAAGTGAAAATAACATGGCAGAGTTTCAGCGTGTATTCAGATTCTAGCTTTTCTGTTGAAATTGCCAATAAACAGGCTGTGAGGGTGTTTTTTATGACAGGCACGCCCGGCTACATTATCACTTCCCAAGTAGCAGTGTACAAACCATACATGGTTTATGGTAAGCAGCTGGAAATTATACTCTCAAAATGCTTTTCATAAAAATGCTGATGATAACAGTGCATTGTGGATAGCAAAGAATGTGTGATGCTGATAGAGAGTCACAGGTCAAGAAATTTGGGAGCCCTTGTCAGCATGAAGTATCTTATTTGAAGCATAAGCAGGGGTCTGATTCCTAGGCTACCTTATGATTTTTTTAGCTTTGAAAAGGAAGCACAGCATTTTGTTTCTTCTTTGCTTCTTCTACACATGCTAAGGGATTTCAACTGTTTTCCATTCCTCCACCAATATTTGTGTATTTCTAAGAAGTGCTCAGTAAAGGATTGAACAAGGATAATTCCAATATGGTACTCACTCTGGAAACAGCTACAACTCAAAATGGTTTTCTTCCTCATTTAGGGCTTGATCACTCCTTATACTGAAGTTCTGGCCTGGACACAGCATAAATTCATACTACAGCAGTAGCCAGTCTATGACTCTTGGGCTGTCCGTGGCTACCAAACGCCTGAACTGTGGCTCCTGTGTCAGAAGTATGTCACATAAGCAACAAAAGTGTTTTGCTACTCACTAATTTGAATCCTCAGCAGTGGGAAAACAAGTTAGGCTAACATTACAGGGTTCACTTACAATCTCAGTGCATACCCCATCCCCTGCTATTACCACGACGTAGCGGGAAGCAACTTGAAAAGGCACCATCTTTCAGCCATTCCTGAAGCTCTTGGTCCCCTGAATGCTCCAAAAGCTTTGGTATGTTTCCAGTAGGTCTC